ACTGTGAGATATTTTGCTTCTCACGCCAGAGCGTTGTGCAACAGAGGATCCAAATTTTCTCCTGGCCCTCAGGGCTTGTTCCCAAAGACAGCAAAGGAAACTCTTCCTGGACAACAGATCCCTGCAGCTCTCTGTATCCTGGCAGAACAGGGATCCCGTCACCAACAGCAACAAACATTTGGGCTCCTTTCCGGACTTCAGGAGTTACTGCCTGTCAGCTGAACCACAGTCATGCGCGATGCGCTTGTTGCTAGCCTGCCCAGTGGTGAAATAAAGCAGGCAATTTCAGCCATCACAATTTGCAACCGTCTGACAGCTCCTAAGGGGTCCTTGTAAATGTATGTCATGCAACAATCTGACTTACAATATATAGTAATGCTCTACGGACCTTTTAAATAGTGCGGACTGGCCTGGCCAGGATGCAACTGGATTTAATCCTATACTCAAAGAAAGACAGAAGCCAAAAAAAGTGAATGCTAAACAACCAAGGGGGTTCCCAAGACTATAAGAATTTCACAAAATAATTTCAATGCAGATGATTTTTACGAGATGGCTCCTTTTCAAGAGATGGTAGCCTTCTCTTCATTTAAGAAGTGAAAGCCCCCGATGAACATGCTCTGACATCTCACAGTTCCTTAAGCCAAGCATAAAGTAGAAGCAGCAGGCTTGCGCTGCCGCTTGCACAACAAAAGGTACCCAAGTTTAGACTTGCACAGTCATTTCTGCCACACCCGCTAGCACGTTTATTTAAAACACATCATCCTTGACTACAAGCACTTAACAGCACAATAAAACCAAAAAACCCACAATCCTCTTTTGTTTCTTGTAGGTGAACTTTAAATCCTTGCTTCTGTTCAGGCTACAGAAGTTTTCACGGCTCCTGGTGAGCGCTAGTAAGTCTCAAGAGCTTGTTCTGAAAAGACGAAAACTGGGGGCTTATCAGGTGAGGAAGGAAACCAGAGGAGGCTGAGGAGCCCCTAAGGACAGAAAGCGAATACCTGACAAGAAGTTCCTGCTGATGCTGTGGGGCTTTGTTGAATGTCACATCTTCGCGGCAGCCAGAGCTTTGAACAGAAAAACCTGCTCTGTTTGAACTGAGTAGGTTAGGGAGTTGCTTGCTGCTTCTCAGACTCATCTGCTTCAGTCACTGGTGCTGCAGGCACCAGGTTTCCGCCCGGCAAAGGGGAGAGGACGCCAAAGGACTACTGTGGGAGAGAGAAAACAAGCAAAGCGGTCCCCAACTTGAAATAGCCCACTGATTCGCCAAGGTTACCTCCAGGCTGGACTTGCACATGCACCAGTGGAAACGGTGGTGGACATATTTAGTGTCTCTGCTAATGAGACACTGAGCTGCGTCGCTCTCATGGGAGGAACGTGATGTGCAGAAGGCCTATTAGAAGACTATTCTTTACTTCCAGGCCCTGGTCATATGCTGTAGGTCAAGGTTATAATGTACAGATGAATCCCACGCTTAACAGAGCTGGTATCTATTGACTCTGGTGTTTTGGAACAGTAGTTCCTATTTGTCTCCCTGGTTACGGAGAACTGAATGACAACTGACTTGCATTAGCACTGTGCCGTCTTGCCTTGAGGACTTTTAGTTGTCGATGAGTAAACCACCATCTCCACTAGTGAGGATTTTTGCTTCAACATCCCTGTAGGGCAAAACATAGGGTATTTTCTAAGTACCAATTGTGAAAAAACCACTTCCCTTTCCAGTCCTGTGCTGGGCAGGCAATTCGCTCATCCCTCCAGGGCAAGAAAACCAGCTATTTAAAACCCGGTAATCCTAGCCCCTCTGACGTCGACACAGGCTGCCACCCTCGTTCGGAGCTCCCCAGAACAGGGCAGATTAGGCCACAGTAATGCAAGACAGGAACAATCAGCACAAATGCTACAACTTTGACTGCAGCAGTGGGAAGAGTAGCACTGCAGGCAGCATCAGCCCTACCTCCCGTATTCCCAGCACCCTCTGGTGCCCCTCACTGCCCCCCGCCAAGAAAAGAAAAGAAAAGAAAAGAAGAAAAGAAAAGAAAAGAAAAGAAAAGAAAAGAAAAGAAAAGAAAAGAAAAGAAAAGAAAAGAAAAGAAAAGAAAAGAAAAGAAAAGAAAAGAAAAGAAAAGAAAAGAAAAGAAAAGAAAAGAAAAGAAAAGAAAAGGAAAAAGAAAAAGAAAAAGAAAAAGAAAAAGAAAAAGAAAAGAAGCCCTTTGACCTTTGCTCTCCGTTTGCTTCTGATGCAGGAATTCTAGGCCTGACCCAAAATGCTATTTTTAGAAAGTTGAACACTGATAATTTATTGATTTTTTTTTTTCCCCCTACCAAAGGTCATTTGCAGAGGAGGAACAGCACAATCCTGGAAGCCCACAGCACTCCCACTTCATAAAAAACAATGATTTATTTAAAGTTAGGAAGACCGGCAGGTTACTGAGTGGCTCAGGCAGACAGTGGAGGCCTCTCTCCTCCAACTGAAGTGGGCTGAGATGCTTTTTTGGCTCCATGTGCTGCATGGAAACCAGAGTGGAGGAGCATTAAGGGGGACAAGGGGAATATCAAGTTACGTTCTCATCTCTCCTCGGCAATACACCCAGGACATGGAAGCTGGCATCAGACCGCGTTATCTACACTAAGTTACGCCCATACAGCACGTAACTGCCACCTCATTAGAGCAAGGCTGCCAAAGCCTGAGCGCAAAGCAGAGCTGCTGCCACTTTGCCTTGTCCCACAGAGATCCCTGGGGGCCCTGCTGCTCATCTGGACGGTGAACAGAGTCAGAAACTCCCCACGTTGCACCTCTCCATCCCGGCAAATTCGAGAGGGCCTCAAGTCTCAGCCTCCCACAGAGGAGATGGAGGATTTGTGCTTTAACGCTTTGAGCCAGACTCTTATTAAAGGTGCCCAGTGAAAGAACAACTGGCAACAGATATGAGTTGCAAGAACATTTGAATTAGATACTTAAGAGGAAAAACAAAAAACAAAACAAGCAAGCAATCCACAATTCTTCATAGTAAAGGTGGACAAACATTGAATCAAGGGTCCCAAAGAGATGGTGGAATCTCCATCCCAGCTGATTTTCAAAGTTTTCCCAGACAAGGCCCTGAGCAATCTGAGCTAACCTCAAATTTGGCCAAACTTTAATGGGGTCAGACCACTGACCTTCAAATGTCCCCTCCAATCTAAGTGATCCTATGACTTACTGAACTAGGCCATGACTGGGATTTTTCCAGACAAGAGATCTGAGATCTCCTAGGAGAGAATACTCTTGGCAAAAAAAAGCTTCGTTCTTAGCATAGTTTAGCCTTACAAAAGAGAGGGCACTTTGCTAGTGTCTACAAAAAGGTTCTCCATCCTAAAGGGCAGAAAGAGATACGTGGAAGATGCATCTATAGATTGTTGTCCTCCTAGCGAGAGGAGAGAGGTGGGGTTCAGTGGGCACATCACACCACATCCTGGTATTTGTCAGGAAGCTAACGAAGAAGTTTCTTAGATCTTCTCTTGGTCAGAGATTCAAAGTCAGAGGTAAAAAACAAACATGCTGAGAGTAAGTCTGAAATCACTTTATTGAAAAACATTTCATACAAGTACAGCCAGTGATGAAAATATTCTAGTGACATACAACACTGCAAATGAGTTCCTTGTATGTCTCCCTGCACAGCCTGTGAAGGTCAATTGCAAACAGCCACTGTCTCCACAGGCACAGTTTTCCAGAGGGATGTGTGCAGCATCCTATCATGCCAGTGAGTTTCAATGCACCACCGGGAGCAGAGTCTGTCTTTATATTGAATGACATTAACTATGACTCTTAATTTTTCCTGTGAGAGGCACGGAAGGTCCCATAGGCGGGTTGAGGGTGAGGCATCCTCATGTGGCACCATTCCCACCCACCTCAGCTCATTCAAAACACTGATTGACTGATAGCCCCTAACAAAGTGCTTTGCCAATAAAAATCTTTCATTAGAAAACCAGTACAAAAATTTGCAATATTCAGCAGAAAAATCAAAAAGTGACTGTGCCATTTCCCTTTTCCCCACAAACAGCATTCTTGGAAAAAAAAAAAAAATCATGCTAGCCTAGGGATGCCTGTTACAACGCAAAACATACTGCTGTTTCCTGCAATGCTCTGTGCAGCAGGAGTCCCACACAGCACATGGGCAGAATTTCAAGACAAATCAGTAGCTCCCTTTAATTGCACTGTCTTTAGAGCAGCTGCTGAGAACACAGCCACCACAGTTTTAGCAGTTAGAAGGCAAAATGCTGCAAGATGGCAAACTGGATGTTTGTGAGTCAGTACCATCACTTCTGAAGACTCTTCAGAAGGAGAAAACCAACCACCACATGAATCTCTTGAATAAAACAACCTACATATAACATGCTGCTGGTGTTATCAGTAAGAAACTAGTTTAGTCTGTGCTTCCATGGCAGTTTTTATTCACAAGAGTACTACTTCATGTGCCAAAAATTTACCTGCAGCATCTTTCAGTGAATTCTTGTCTAGTAAGAACATACAGCTGAACCACAGGAGCAAATACAACCACATTGGCTTACTTCATTTCATCCAAAAACACTGGACAGTGTAAGACGCCGACAGACACAGGGTTGCCAGCTTGCTATCTGGAAATAATTAACATGGATTGTCCCCCAATTCTATTTTCAGTAACCAGGAAGGTGTTACATAGAAGAGCAATCACTCTCTTGCTCCCCACTTTTGCAGCACAAGATTTAAGGCTCCTGCTGCCTTCATGCACAGCTGTGCAGGAAAAGAGCTGAATCCTCAAGGGTTCAAGGTATCACCATGCATGAAGCCCGCTCTGTGTATTTGGTGACTTAATCTTCCCAAATAACTCAGCAAAAACTTAGTAACTCTCTGCATTACCTTGGTGAAAACCAGGAGTGGGGGCTTCACATTTGAGGGTGTACATATCAGAGACTTGCTTCTCTAAGAAAATAGCAGTAATTCATTTAGATACTGTTAGCATGGCGGGGGGGGGG